TGTAAGATGGTGAAAGATGGACCCTTAGCCCCCCTCCTCAAATTAAAGGAGTGGCCACTGACCTGTAGGTCAGGTGGGTCTGAGTGACCCAGGGTCCTTGAGCAGTGTGGACTCTCATTATTATTATTGTTATTATTATTTGTATTTTTGCTGCACTGTGCTGCCATTCTGTGTTCCACATTTGTATGCATACGCAGGCATGTGTGTGTGTGTCTGTGGGTGTGTCTGTTTCCTGTAGGCTGGGTGACAGGCACCCGCAAGCCTGGTGGGTGTGGCCCCGCAGGAGAGCTGGCCCCACCTGAAGACCATGCCACTCACCTGCTGCTGATGAGGCTCGTCGGGGGAGCGAAGACTCCATGAGGAGCGTGGAAACAGGAGGACACCGAGCACAGGGAGCACAAAGACACGGAAGTCAAGGGAGCACATGTGGATTTATTGTCATTTTCTGCACTGTAAATAAACTACAATTTACAAATTATATTTACATTTAAAGTTATGAAATATGATCATTAAACATGTTTGTGGTTGTTACAGTAAAAATAACTTTTTCTACTTGGATTTTATGTTTTTTGTCTGATTTTAGATCAGTTGTGTTAATACAGTTTGTCAAAATGAAAACATGACTGTAAATTCAGACACGTGAGGTTGTGCTGAAAACAATGAGACCAAACAAGGCAAAGGAAATCATTTTTAAAGGTGAAATGTAGAGGAAACATCAAACGTAGTTAAAAATGGCCAATTATACCCTGAACCCCAGAGGGTTAAACAACTTTTTTAAGTAACACAATAGTTACTTTTCCTAGTAATTAATTAATTTTAGAATCTTGTAATTTAGTTATTAACTCAGTTACTTTTTTGAAGAAGTAATTAGTAACTGTAATTAATTACTTTTCCAAACAACTTGCCGAACACTGCTGGTTCTACTGTTGGTGAAGCAGCAGCAGCAGACATGTTGGTTAAATTGACACAGTCCCAGTGTTGAGAGATAAACTCATCACTGTATTTATTTTCCATTTCATTTAAACTTTTCCATGGATTTAACGAGTACACAGAAAGACTCCAGCTGGGATTTGAATGTTGCAGCTGACAGTCATTTCAGGTCTGCGAGATCATAGCTTTGTGAGTCCACACAGAAAAGCAGGAGGCCTGAATGTTTACGTAAAACAGCCTGGTGTGAACAGCACAGGCAGACATGTACACTGCTACGACGTGAGTCAGGTACTAGAGTGAGATGTGTCAGAGTGACCGGCTGAGTCATTCAATTTCCTTGTAACCATGTGGACACCATGCTGACTCCTTCCGTGAAGCTGGCATTCCTTACACGACTATCACTCATTAGATTTCAACATTCCAGCACAGGGAGGACCGGCTGAAATATTACACTTTTGTTAGTCAAGCCTTTCTGTTTTATGTCTACAAGTTAAGTCTGAGGCACCACTTAAAGCTCTCGGGACAGCACTTGGCTGAGCACAGAACAGATTAGTGGTGATTTCTTTTGCTTGGGTGGATGTTTATTATTCTAAAAAGAGAAGACTCAAGAAGAAGCAACTCCACAGGCGTTTGAGCCACTTTTCTACAGTAGTTTTTCTGTTTACAAAATCTGCATCAATAGACGGAGAGCTCACTGTAGAGCCCACCAGAGACAGTGTTGCTGTGTTTACAAAGTATTCCTTCCTTTAACAATGGACGCATGTATGCAGAGGTTTTGCTCTGTCTGATAGTTTGTTTGGGGTTTTCAGCCTCTTCGTCTTGCATCAACATCTCTGGGCCTCACTGAGAATTAAAAGCCTTAAAAGTTACCAGATGCAAATTCCAGAGTTGGAATCAACTGCATATGTTTTGTTTGCTTTATTTGTTCTGAAGTAATGATGAAGCAGGCCTCACCACCAGGAAAATACTTCCCAGTTAATGGTGCATTTTAGCCTGAAAAGGGAGAACTGTGCATAGAAATGGTTTTCATTCTTTAAAGGTTAATGCAACACTTTAGTTAAACCCTTCATTTACTGTTAAGCTGCACTTAAAAGAGGAAAAATAACTACTTTTGGACCTATCACTGTTTACTTGATGTAAACATTGACTTGGTTGTTGAGCAGTGAACTTTACAAGACTGGCTGCACCATCACACTGATTTCATGTTGCATGTGTGCGCTGGTGTTGGTGCCGCAGTGATCACAAACATGTGTCTGGGCTCTCATTGTTTACAGCAAGGCTTTGTTTATTAACCAGTGAAGAAGCAAAGCAGATACTCTGACACTTTAACGCAGGAAACCCTAGAAAGGACACGCGCTTTAGTATAGCTGTTTCCAGCATTTCATCCACATCATCATCGTTTCCTTGACAAAGTGAAATGCACAAACAATCCTGGAGTAAAACGAACCAAAAAAAAGACAAATACTTTGTACGCTTGTGGGTTTTTGGAGTGAGTGTGTGTTCCTGTGTACGTGTGGAGGAGGGGTCAACGTTTGTCACTCTGGTGCTTACGTGATACCAGAAGGTTTCATGGAAATGACTGCGACTGCTGAACTTTTCCCACATAGTTACTGGCTCCCAGTGAGGCTTTTAGATGATCTGAAATAGGTTAAATCATGGGAAGCATGAATTCCCACAAGCATTTAAAAGAGCTGACTGTTTTCTTCACAGCCACATTCCTTGGCATTTTTCCCTGCTCTGCTCACCCCAGGGACGAATGGATGGAGAGCGAAGGGAAGGTAGAGTCTGTAAAAGTTCTCATACATGTTTTTGTACAACCAACATTAGAACAACAAAGTGATATATGTTTAGTTTTTTAACAAACTAAAAGCCTCAGTTCTTCCTCACGGTTACTTCAACAGCTGAGTTTCCCCCAAGTTTTCCGAAAATATAAAATAATTCATGTTTTTATAGATGAAATATCATCAAATGATAACCATGCATTTATATGCACTTAAATATGCTGGCCGTCAGGCTTACAGCTGCCAGTCATCCAAGATGAAGCTTTGTTGGAATTATAATATAATTATTAACATTTCTACCAAATGAACAATCTACATTTCATGTTTCTTGGCAGGATCTCCTTCATCCTGTCCTGATGAATCAGGTGCTCTTTGAATGCCCGACAGATAAATCTCACTGCAGTGGACTGAATCAGTACTTGCTGGTTCTTCACCTTGTCCATAGTAAGGAGAAGGATTCGCTGCAATGTTTGGACCCACTAATAACATCCAGTCATCCCTAACAGGATTTTTCAAGCTCAAGTTTACTGTTGCAAATGTTTTGGACCTGACTGTGAAATTGAAATTATTCTTACAACATTTCTAAACCTTTAATTTTGTCCTTTTCACTGACACAAACATGTGACTTTAAAATATGAACTCTCTGGGTGAGCTGCAGTGTATTTCATACATGTTTATGGAAATATTTCTTCACTGCTGAGAACTTTAAAGATGTTTTGGGAAATGTTTCAAAGCGACTGAGCAAAAATTGTAACTAGAAAAAGTTGCATTTCCTGAGAAAATGCTGTGTGAATGCTTTGCAGTGGAATCGGAAAAAAGCAGAAGAAGGAGAACAATTTGCTGAAAAGAGTTGAAGAAGCTGAAGTTTGTGCTGAAAAGAGTTTAGAAATTAAAGTGTTCACTGAAAAAAAAAGTTGCCATGGAATACAAGCATGCTGATCCACACAGGTGTACACACAGGTGTTCACACAGGTGTACACACAGGTGTGCACACAGATGTACACACAGGTGTGCACACAGGTGTACACACAGGTGTTCACAGACACAAACTACACCTTTCTTGGCTGCTGCCTCAAAGCACATTGTGCGCTGTCTATCTTGCGTGCTGCACAATATCGTTTAATATTTAGTATCTACTGTTATCTACTGCTAGCTAGTTTATTGTGATGGTGCTGTTTTTATTATGTTGCTCTTTTTTTGTTTGTTTTCTCTTCTGTTTTTTTTTCTCCATACAGGTGATCCAGGTGTTTGTTTGTTTTTCTTTCCTCCCCACTTTCTCACCGTCTCTTCTCTGGTTTTCTTTCTCTCCCTCTTTCTTTCATTCTTTCTCCCTGTCCTATCCCCGAGTCATGTCTGTCCCGTTTGTAGCAACCCAAAATAAAATAAATACATAATTATAAAAAAATAAATAAATGTTGTCATAAGCAGGATTTGAACTTAGGTCTCCCGCTTTGAGAACAGCTGCTCAGCCCGGAGAACCAAATCAGCAAAGACGCTGGTAATTTGGTCTCAGTCATCAAAATGAGCCAAAAAAAAAAAAAAAAAAATGGCATAAAAACCTGAATATTTCAAAAAGTATAACAGTTACGAGCACCAAAAGATATAGCAGGCATCAACTGAAGGAGCTGAAAAATTAGCTGACAAAGTTGCACTTTCTGCAGAAAAGAGTTCAGTAAACTTAAATTTGCGTTCGAAACAGGTGAAAAAGCAGAACTTTGTGGTGTGAAGACACTTAACCTTCTGGGTCAAATACTATGATTGAGCAAAATGTGTGAATGCCTCACAGGCATTCACACATTTTGCAGAAGCCCCACATTTTGCAGAAGCCCCACTATTTTGTACTGTGTGGTATTTCTATGTACTGAGTGTGCGTTGCTGCTGAGTGAAACCAGAAAGAAACAAGTTTCCCGGCGACCTAGAAGTTAGTAAAACTGAACCACTCACACAAAGCCTATTAGTTGTCAAGGCAACAGGGCATCAAACTGCATGCCCTCACAAAACCACCATTGAACAGACAGACCGTGGAGTGCAGGCGAATTCCTTTCCACAAAGAAGAACTTCATGATAAGACAGGTTAAATGTAAATATTCATTCTTTCGCAAAAGTTTGCACACTGCACGATCACAGTCCGATTCCTGTAAACGTTGTAAAGGGATGAATAAGAAGGGAAACAGTTCGGATTGAGCAAAATTGTTTGAGAACATCTCCTCCCCCATTCCCCGATGTTGAGGCAAACATGTGGGAAGGATCAGCATACCCCACCCCGTTACTCTTGTGTGTGCAGCTGAACGGAAGCAGCACCGAGCCTTTTCAGCTCCTTCTGCTCTCTTCAGCTAACAGATGAGGACAGAGACAGGACTCGCTGGTGCTAACATGGCAACGGTAAAAACTCTGCTTTGGCTGGGACTCTCTCTGTCTGCCTTCGGCTTAACCACTGCAGGTAAAACACACAGCACATGATCGGCAGACAGACAGACAGACAGACAGACAGAGGCGACTGGTGTGAGACATTTTAAATAGACACCAGTGTCCTTCAAACACAGCAGGCTCTATTTCATCTGATAGAGAACACAGAAGAGTTAAGCATCTTACACAGGACTTAAAGTTTCATGCTTGGTATCATGATACAGTAAAATGTCCAACAATTATAGATTAAGACATGTTCTGAAATATTGCAGAGAATCTGAAAGAAATTGAGAATATTTAGAAAGTAGCAGTGGTTTGAAAGAAAACTGCATTTTTATTCTTACTCATCTAGCTTTCCATCAAGTTTTGCTCTCACTGACTGCTTATGCAAAATTCAATATTGGTTGTTTGCTAATTTTCTTAAATTAAACAGTGACAAACTGAGATTCGTCTGGTAGGAACACCGTTGTGTAATAATGTGATATTCATCGCCTCACCTCTCCTTCCTGTACTCTGAGATCCTCCTTCTCGCTTACTGTCATCATGCCATCTGCTCATCTGACCCCCTCTGGGCTTCAGAGCTTTGCCCCTCATCTTTAGCTCTCCCACCA